TATTTGTGGAACACAATGAATAAAACAAGCTGTTGACCAAAAGAGATCCAGAATCATGGATGTAGGGAACAGACTGACAAACCTCAGAGGGATGGGAGGTGGGAGGGGTGGGAAGAGATAAACCAAAGAACTTACATGCATATATGTACAACTGATAGACAGGGACACTAGGCTGGGGAAGGCAGGAGGGGTGTGGAAGCGGGAAGGAGGGGCTCAGTGGGGAAAAAAGCAGGGGCATCTGTAAGACTTTCAACAATGAAAAAAATAAAACCAGTATTTTTCATTTTTTCTTATAATTGTCTTGGATATATTAAGGGTACTTGATTTGGATAAGGTGTGTATAGACAATAAATATTCCCCAAGCAATGCAATAAATAGCTTTAGAAGACCCCATCATATCCTATTCTCTCTACCTCCTAGCCTTCAAATGTTTTTCCAGTGTGAAAGTATTAAGCCCTCAGAGAATACTGTCCTTTAAATAGCCAAGACCAACTCTCTTATTAAAACTTATTAAGTCTTCTCTCTCTTACTGTAAATATTTATGACAGAAGAAATTGAGTATCATGATTCAGACTATGATGTCTTTTTTGAGATTTATTAAAAGGTACAGTCACTCATTTCCAATGTTTTACAAAGTCAATATTCCCTTTTATTGTCTCTCCTCTTCCCTGTCTTAAATACCTATTTATTTATCTACTTATTTATGTTATTGAGGTACGATTCATGTAACATAAAATTAACCATTTAAAAGTGAACAATTCAGTGATGCTTAGTACATCTACAACCACCACCTTACCTAGTTTCAAGACATTTTCATCACCCCAAAATAAACCCCATACCTATTAAGCAGTTACTCCCTATTCCTTCCTCTCCTCAGCCTTAAGGTACGTTTTTTAAAACTTGAAATTAAAAAATTATTAAAAGTTTCTGAGGTAATTTAGTTAGTGTCAGACTAAATTTAGAATGTATTGTTCTAAATTCAATAATATGAAGAAATGCATTCAATATACTGGTAGTGGAACAATTTGATTATGAAATTTTATGTACTATGTGTATATTTAAACTATAAGGGGAAGAAAGGAACACTCAGTAGGAAATACATCAAAGTAATAGTGATTTTGCTGTAGATTTTCTTTCCCTTCATTTAAAATAAGAAAAAAATCTTTCATAATTAAAAAAAAATTTCTAGCCCTGGCCAGTTTGGCTCAGCGGTTGGAGCGTCGGCCTGCGGTACAGAGAGACCCGGGTTCAGTTCCCGCTAAGGGCATGTACCTCGGTTGCAGTTTGTCCCCGGCCCTGGTTGGTCGTGCGGGTGGCAGCCACATCGATGTTTCTCACTCTCTCTCCCTCCCGCTCTATCTGAACCAAAAATGGAAAAATGTCCTCGGGTGAGGATAAAAAAAAAAAAAAAAATTCTAGATAAGTTTAAAAAAACTTGGGTCTAAACTTACTGTTATAACAGTTATTTCAGGATAATATTAAACTAACAGTTTTTTTTTCCAGATTGAGTTGCAGTGTTTCTTGCTATTTACTAAGAGGAAAAAAAAAAAAAAAAAAAAAGATTTGCTGTAAAAACAAAACTATATTGCTTGTAGTTTTTCAGTTCTCCAAATTAGATCTCAAACCACGAATACCTGTTTCATGTAAGCTGTTTTCTAATTTATTTTTCTTTTTAAAAATATATTTTTCAAGACTTTCTTTTCAAACTATAAAAACATATTTTCTTGTTGATAGAAATCAAATACCACGGGTGTACAAATGAAAAGCCTACAGTCTCCCTTCACAAACAGTCTTCTTGTGTACCTGCTTAAAATAATTGTTAGCAGTTAAGCAGGTATTCTTAGCCTTCTGTGGTGCAGCTTACAGAAATATGTAACAAAATTGGACCCAATGGATAAAAAACTCAGTTGCCTTTAGGATGGCCCTGGTAATTAATGTAAATATGTGAATGCACTAAAGAAAGGTGGTTAAGTGGAAGGGGATTTTACACTCAAAGCTTTAATGTTTGAAAATAGAGCCCTGGCCAGTGTAGCTTAGTTGGTTGAGCATTGTTAAGTGCCCCAGGAGGTTTCCCAATCCCCCGTGGAGGTTATGCAGGAGGCAGCCGATCCATGTTGCGCTCTCACATCCATGTTTCTCTTTCTCTCTCTCCCTCTCCTTTCGTCTTTCTCTAAAAATCAATAAAGAACTAAAAAAAAATCATTAGAGCCCTGTTGGTCAACAAACATATCACTGTGCTCTTTTATTCTTCCTTGCCTACTCCACCCTCCCAGACAAAAATAGAATGACCATATGTCATAGATTTATTTAACTCATCATTTAGAGAAGCAGCAGAATGGTAAAGCTGATTCCAAGAGCATTTGAGGAATTGTGTGTATTTGTAGACACTGAAGAAAGAACATGGAAATAAATTGCTAAACTAGATACAAAATTGGTTAATGTCCTACAGGGAGGCAAAACCTTTGGATTCTGCTGGACAGAACTTATCTTTACTGAATAAAAATCTACAAATTTTCCTTAACTTCATAGAATTTGGTTTCTAATGAATAGTAACCAGCAGGTCAAACAGTGGTACTATAATGAAATATCTTTGGGAGGACCTATTAAAAATGTTTTTTTATACATTCAAAGGGTTTACAGTTCTTGATTCACTTTATTCCCAGTTTTGGTTAACTTTTTTTTTATTAATTAATTTTTGTTACAGATGTTTCTCCTTTTTCTCCCACTGATTCCCCCCTCCCTCTCCCTCCCTGCCCTTTCCCCAGTTTGTTGTCCATGTCCACTGTTCATGCATACATGCATATAAGTTCTGTGGTTTATCTCTCCCCCACCACCCCCCTCTTGGGGGATTGTCAGTCTGTACCCACTTCCGCGTCTCTGGGACTACCCCATTCCTCAGACTGTTGTGTTCATTATATTCCACAAATAAGTGAGATCATATGAAACTTGTCTTTCTCTGTTTGGCTTGTTTCACTTAGGATAATACTTTCCAGGGCCCTCCATGTAGTCTCAAAGGATAAGAGATCTTTCTTTCTTACAGCTGCGTAGTACTCCATTGTGTATATGTACCACAGCTTTTTGATCCATTCGTCTACTGATGGACACTTGGGCTGTTTTCAGATCTTAGCGATTGTAAATAGTGCTGCTACAAACACGGGGGTACATAGATTCTTTATGATTGGTGTTTTAGGCTTCTTAGGGTATATTCCTAGTAGTGGGATTACTGGGTCAAATGGAAGTTCAATTTTTAATTTTTTGAGGTAACATCATATTGTTTTCCATAGTGGCTGCACTAGTCTGCATTCCCACCAGCAGTGTACTAGAGTCCCCTTTTCTCCACACCCTCGCCAACACTTGTTTGATGATTTGTTGATGGCGGCCATTCTGACAGGTGTGAGGTGATACCTCATTGTTGTTTTAATTTGCATCTCTCTGATGATTAGTGATGATGAGCATTTCTTCATATGTTTCTTAGCCATTTGTATGTCCTGTTTGGAGAGGTGTCTATTTAGTTCCTCTGCCCATTTTTTAATTGGATTCTTTGTCTTCCTTTTATGGAGTTGTATGAGCACTCTATATGTATTGGAAATTAACTCCTTATCTGATATATCATTGGCAATTATGCTCTCCCATACAGTGGGTAGCCTTTCCGTTTTGATGATTGTATCTTTCGCTGTGCAGAAGCTTTTGAGTTTGATGTCGTCCCATGTGTTGATTTTCTCCTTTGTTTCTATTGCCTTAGGTGATGTGTCAGTAAAAATTCTGCTGCGTATGATGTCTGAAATTTTGTTGCCTACAGTCTCTTCTAGGCTTTTTATGGATTCATGAGTTACATTTAAGTCTTTTATCCATTTTGAGTTTATTTTGGTGTAGGGTGTAAGTTGATGGTCTAGTTTCATTTTTCTGCAAGTAGCTGTCCAATTTTCCCAGCACCATTTATTAAAGAGGCTGTCCTTACTCCACTGTATTGGTTAACTTTTTTTAACAATGAGAAAGGCCTATTGTAATTATGGTAAGACAGCAGTAAGGTAAGGACCAGATTTTGGAAGAGCTTGGTATTTTAAACTAAGAAATTTAAACTTTCTTTCAACAAATGTTTTTTGAGCACATATTATGTGCCAGACAGTGGGTCTACTATAATCCTGAGTGTGTGGTTATGCTGTGCTGCCCCTCCTGTGCCCCTAGGAGGCTAACTAGTGGTTCTCCAGGGGTTGTGTTATTAGGGAGTCATCCAGGAAGCTGGTTTTCTGAAAATACACATTCTTTTTACCTCAGTAGAACATATGTGTTTTGAAAAAGCTTCCCAGGTGATTTTTATGTTATGTTTTAAAATCATTGTTATGTTTATTGGACGTTTTGGGGAAAAACAAACAAACCAGTAAGCAAAATTGTAATTAATATTTTAAAAGTATTCATACCCCTGTCTGCCTGCCCCACCCTGTAATACTTAAACTAAAATAATTAATGTTCTGATTACACTCTCAGCAAGAATTGTATTTTTTGTAACTGAAGACATTGATTTGGGAAGAATTGGGCTTAGTGTTCTTAATTGTATCTTTAGGTTATTATTCTCACTAAATAAACTGAGAGTTATCATTTATAATAGTATATGATCTGCATGGCAAAGACATGTGACTAAATATTAGACTTAAAAATGCTTTTAGTGAGAAAATAGACTGTCAACTTGTCAGAGACTAGTAAAAGGAGTAAGTAATAAAGGAAAAAACTGAATATGTGTTCAACTTGTAATTAAACTATTTGAGTTGAGTCAACAATTAAAACAAGCGGCGTTGTGCATATGCATTTACATTCTTCTCAGTAGAACTTTGGGTGGGTATCCATTTTGTGCAGACACACTCACAGGGCGGGATTTGTGAGTTCAGTACAGCTGTGCTGCCATGGAATTCACAACTTAATCATAGGATACAATGTTAGGATTGGGGAGAAATCGGGAATTTACATGATACAACTGGTATATTGTGTATTTTTCTTTTTATTAGTGTGCCGATCCAACAAAAGCCCCTGGGTCTGTTTGACTTGTTCAAGTGTCCACTGTGGAAGGTAGGTGACATGCTTATTATTACTTCACTTCCCTACTTGCATTTCGCAATTTGCCTTTCAGCTTTATGTTAAAGGTTTACTGATATTTGGATTTGTTCGGCACCATTACTTAATCATAGTGTGTAATGCTCTGTAGGGCTTACCTCTCCTCATAGATCTTTTTTTTTTTTTTTTTTTTTTTTTTACTTCGGATAGAGCAGGAGGGAGAGAGGGAGGAAGAGAGAGAGAGAGAAACGTCAATGTGAGAGAGACACATTGAGTGGTTGCCACCTGCATGACCCTAACTGTGACTGGGGAAAAACTGCAACCGAGGTACGTACCCCCAGCAGGAACTGAACCCGGGACTCTCTGGTCCACGGGCTGATGCTCTAACCGCTGAGCCAAACTAGCCAGGGCGCTAGATCTGTTTTTTTCAGTGGTACAACTAAGGAAAATCTTGGGTAGAAACCCTTTAATAGTGATACTCAGAAGAATTCATTTGATGATTAAGATAATCTAAACCTAGTAATATTTGATTGAAAAGATGAAATATGGGAACTTTGAAATATTTAAATAAAAGTTTATATTATGGTTGTTTTTTAAACCTTTTATTAGGGTAAATTCAATTATACACAAAAATAGAGAAATAGTATAATTGAACCCCATATTTTCTTTTTTTTTTAAATCCTCACCCAAGGATATTTTTCCATTGATTTTTAGATAGAGTGAGGGAAGAAGGGAGAGGGTGTGAGGGGGAGAGAAAGAGAGAAAGAAACATCACTGAGAGAGAGATATCAGTTGGTTGCCTCCCACACAACCCCGACCTACTGGGAGCCAGATTGAGCCTGCAACCGAGGTATGTGCCTTTGACTGGTAATCAAACTCATGACTCTTTGGTCCAAGGGCCAACACTCTAATTGCTGAGCCAAACCTGCCAGGGCTGAACCCTGTATTTTCATCACCCAGTTTCAACAATCATCAGCACAGGGCCAGTCTTGTTTCACCTATTACCTACCCCATCTCCACCTTTACTGACTTAATTACATCATTCTTCTAAAGACAAAACAGAACACTAAGATATTTACAGCTAAAGGAATGCTTTGGAAATGCTCTCACTGTGAAGTTCATAGTTAATTGCTAAGATGTACCAAATGTTTAATTGTTCCATTAAGACATTTTGCTTTCCAGGGACTTAACCCCCCACCCCACCCCACCCCACCCCTACCCCATCCCCGTTCAAGCCTGAGCATTTCCTCCCAAGTTCTTGGCTTCAAAATGATGTTACTTAGATACTTGAGTACTCTTTTCTTTTGACACACACTCAAATAAATATCAACCTTTGTGTTCTTTTAGCTTGGCAGTAGCACATTTATATCTATTGCTCTTGTAGGTTAGAAAATTCACTTTGAATTTGCTTCAGAGTCAAAAGCTTAGCAGCATGGGATGGGAAATCATACTAAGTCAACACAGACAAATCTATATCGTATTTATTAGAACTGTTTCCCCATTGTTATTTTTAAACCCTCATTGCATAAAGGAGAGCGTCTTTGTTCAGTTAACTTTTGATTTTTCACATTTTGAGCTCTGGAATAGAGTATTTTTTTCCATGTACACTTAAGAGTACTTTTGGAAAATGTTAACTGTATATCCTTCTTAATTTTGGCTGTTGTGGTTTTGAAATCTCTAGGATTTGGGGAACCTGAAAATACTTTGTACAGATAACATTTTTTTAAAAAAAGAAGAAAGTAGAAGCACTTAAATTCTCCACTTGAAGAGAGATTCCTCTCCTAGATTTTGAGAGGTGAGAATTATAATGCAATAAAATTTATATAGTTCTGTTCTCCAGTTGTCTCATAGTGCTCTACAACCTAAATCTTGAAGGTCATATGCCAACAAAAAGGTCTAACAAACTAAAAAATTGGAGAGATTAATGTTCTTAATAGCAAGCACCAAACAGTTCTCTAAGCAGGTTTTGGAAAAATAAGTGGAAAATTTTCTAGACTATGCAGGCAGCCTGTTTCCAATTGCAAGCAATCTTAGATTTAGAAATTTGATATAGTTTCAGAAAAATATAACTAAGTAGATTAAATAGATGAGAGTAGCCTGCATTTGGATCTTCATTTTACATAGCTGATTGGTTAATTTTCTTTTATGTGTTGATTGCCAAGGATTCTAATTTTTCTGTAATTTTAGACCACATGTCTGTAGGGAAGTCTTAAATTGAATATTCTTTCAACTAGGAAACACAGTTTATCAGTAGCATATTTGAGTTATATATTCTATTGGTCTTTATAATACCATCCCATTTTAAGTTATTTGAAAAAAAATTTGTGGTTGTTGTTATAAATGTGTGACATGTATTGACACTTTACCTTTTTACCAACTTGTCTACTTAAAATCTAAAACTAGCCCAACCGGTGTGTCTCAATGGTTGAGCATCGACCCATGCACCAAGAGGTCACCGGTTTGATTCCCAGTGAGGGCACATGCCCAGGTTGTGGGCCCAATCCCCAGTGGGGGACATGCAGAAGGCCACCAGTGGACGTTCTGTCTCATCGATGTTTCTGTCTCTCCCTCTCCTTTCCGCTCTCTCTAATAAAGGGAAAAGAAAAAAATCTAAAACTAGATAAAGCAACTATTTATTTTTATGTTAGCCATTTTTAGACAAAACTGTTAACTTCTGCCTGATGTATTTGAGTATTAGCCAAAACATTGCTAATTTTAATATTGGCAGTAATACACTTCTTACTTGATCACTGACATTTACAGTAACCATTTAAACATCTAGTATATTTGGAGACTACGGTGTGGTGGCTCAATGAACCATGTGTACTATGTATAGATTATCAGTTTTCAAAGACTTGAAAGTAGTAATGTCTTTGTTATCATTGTTCAGTATTGCTTTTCCTTTGATTCCAAAGGCACTCCTCATTATAAATATTACTATTGTTTTTTTGTGGCACAGAATAAATATATACAAGCATCGGAAATTGAACTGATTAATTATTAAACCTATATTATACCTTGGAGTTTACCTTTTAAATTAATATTGGGTGCTTCTTGACCTGTGCAATGTGTCATCTCAAAGTATGTGCTTAATATAACCAGTTTCTAAACAATTATACTGTTTGGATTCTGAATAAATAGTAAAGATATAAAGAAAAATATGAATAAAATAATTGCTAATATTCATTTATTCGTGTATGTGTTCTGAGCCATGGATTATTTAATCACCTAACGGTGTATGAGATATGAGTACTAATATCTCCATTTTACAGATGAGAAACATAAGTACAGAGAGTTTAAGTGACTCACCCAAGCTCACATGGCCAGCATGTGACAAAGCCTACTTTTGAACACAGGTGGTTTAGTTTTTGTTTGTTTGTTTTTTGTTACTCTTCACCAGAGGATAGTTTTTCCACTGATTTTTAGAGAGTGGAAGGGAGGGAGGGATTGGGGTGGGGGGAGCAGGGAAAGAGTCAGAGAGAGAAACATAGATGCGAGAGAGACATGGATTGGTTGCCTCCTGCACGTGCCTGTCAGGGGCTGGGGATCGAACCTGCAACCCAGGTACATGCCCTTGATGGGGAATTGAACCGGTGCTCAGGGCGATGCTCCAACCACTGAGCCACACCAGCCAGGGTAGTTTTTGAGTTTATGCTCTTAACCATTATTTTATTTAAAAATTCATCTTAGTCCACTTTTGTGGACAGAGGACCCATGTATACACAAATGTTGGTTATGTTTACTTCACTGAAAAAAATGGGAAAACAACATGATTGAATTCTGAGTTGAGGTTAGTAGTGCCTCTGTCACTTCCAGCTTTGTTGGGCAGAGAGGCTGGCTGGAAGTTGAGCCTTCCTACTTACCACAAGGTAAGTGTTGCTCCTGGTACAATTAAGGTGCTTCATGACAAAAATGTCACCTTAACTCTCTGACCATGTTTATTTTGGTACCATTTAACCAACGTTTGTTTCAACTGTTTACAGTTGTCAATTAGGCCTTGCCTTCTACAAATTGGCTGCTTTTTAGGAACTGGGAGGTTTTGTTTTGTAAGGGTCTTTCTTCACAGTCACAGCATTGTCCAGTATTTAGGTGGAAGTGTAGATGAATTTGGGTGCACACCATGTGCATATGAACACTTATTTCAAAATGTTTCATTCTGCTCTGTAATACAATGATTTACTAAATCTGATTTGGAAAGGGTTACAAAATTTTTATGACTACAGTCAACCTTTGATTATCTTGTCCATGTAGAGAAATAACAGTTTATATAAGCTTGTGATGATTTGTTTTGTTTGGGATGTTTCTAAACAAATGTGTTTCCATCCGAGTGGAGCTGATTATTCAGGCATTTGAATAAAAGATCTGAAGCCATATTGATCAGAAAGAGATGGAAGATTATCCTGTTTCCATATCTGACTCTCTTTTATATTAAGCAGCAACCCAAGCAGAGCCTATAGCACTGTAGGAAGTGGTTGAATAATATAGTTTACAAAGCTGTCTTTGATAATAACCGGAGTTAAGGATTAGCAGTCTGAGAAAAGTTTGAAAAATGAAAATGGCTACACCAAAAGCATTAATAAAGGAGTTGATAAGTGATAATATCAATGGTATTGAAACTGATTTGCATAGATAATTTCTTTTTTTTGCCTGGCCCTAGTCTTGTGTATGCTGTAATTAAAAGTTGACTGTAAAATTTGATTGCAGAAAAAGGAGCATATATACATTTTTATTTTAAATCCTCACCTGAGGTTATTTTTCCATTTATCTTCAGTCTTCAGATAGAGTGGGAAGAGGGGAGGCAGGGAGGGGGGGGCGAGAGAGAGACATCGACAGGAAAGAGACACATTGACTGGTAGCCTCCTGCAGGTCCCGGACCAGGGCTGGGGGTGAACTGCAACTGAGATATGTGCCCTTGGCCAGAATCAAACCTGCGACTCATTGGTCCCCGGGATGACGCTCTAACGACTGAGCCAGACTGTCCAGGGCGAAAAAGGAGCATATTTAAAGAATTCAACCTAATAAATCACTAAATGACTAAATGATCTTATAAGGAAGAATTCCTTCTCATTTTGATTTGTTTACCATATAATTTTATCATAATCTCCTAGTACTTTAGATTAAAATAAATTTTCATTTGGTTTTTTTAAGGTATGTGAATGGCCATGCAAAAAAGCACTATGAAGATGCACAAGTACCTTTAACCAACCATAAGAAGTCAGAAAAACAAGATAAAGCTCAGCACACAGTGTGTATGGATTGTAGTAGCTACAGTACATACTGGTAAGTATTAATATTTTCCTGGAAATGATATTCCTTACCCTGAGTGTGCAAGTGTTTTTTTCATTTCCTCGCTCCCCACCCCCGCCATTTGCTAAGCCAGCTCCTACTGCCATTACCTCCTTTTAGTTCTGTTAGAATTCACGGGACTGGAGCCATCAGGAATGCCTGTCCTATTCATTTACATTTTACTTTGCATTGTTCTTTTCAACTTCTCGGCCTCCTCTTCTTTCCGACCTCCTGATCCTTGTCCATCTCAATAAGCTTCAGGAAAATGAAAGTATTTCTTTGTTGTTGTTCATTATAATTTTTTTTCTTGTTTTGTTTTTAATTGAAGACTATAAGAGTCCATGTTAAAAAAAACAACAACCCATGTTTCTACTATGCAAATTAACTTTTTTTTTACATAATCTTAAAATTTTAACTTCTTTGTATAAAAAAAATTACTGGGGCAATCTCCCCTCACCCAGCACAGTTCCAGTCTCCTACTCCTCTGTAGATTAATGTCAGAAATTTCGTGTGTAGCTGTTTTTTAAAATATTATATCCTTTAGGAGGAGATTGGAGGCTCTTTGTAATATAATATACATGTGTTTCATTTAAATGACAATAAAGTTAAATATCTCTTTTTAGGACTGCTTAGATCTAGGTTATTTAGGTTACAGTGATGTTTAACAATTCATATCCACTTGCTATGCTCAGAAAGTCAGTGTATTTTGCAGTTTTAACTTCGGTGTGAAGCAGATTTCTTTTCTTGACTACTAAGTCATGATGAATAATTGCTTGTTTTAATCACTTTACTCAATTCAAAAGGTTTCTGACATTGAAGGGGGAAAATGGCCATTAAAGGGTGTCTTTGGAGGGTTTTTTTGTTTGTTTGTTTTTGCCACATAGCCCTTAGCTGTCACATGAAGGCAGTAAGTACCAGGTAGGGTTGGGAATTTGAAGTGCAAATACCATGTTTGATTCACAGTTTCTACTGAAGTAGTGTACCAACCCTTTCTATATCATCTTTAGTTGATACTTGTATTGTAGAAAGGTGTCCATCAAAAGGAAAAAAGAAGGTCAGTTGGCTTCCTGAGTCTTTTAAATTTTGACAGGTTTAACATTATTAAATTGTGACTGTTGAATAAAACATCTTAACGTTTAGTCAATCAGATCACTAATATATCAGTGATCCTTTGTGTGGAAGATATCCAGACCTGGAAGAGAGAGACGCTAGGCAGCGGTTCTCAACCTGTGGTTTGTGACCCCTTTGGGGGTCGAATGACCCTTTCACAAGGGTCACCTAAGACATAACAGTAGCAAAATTACAGTTATGAAGTATGAAAATAATTTTATGGTTGGGCGTCACCACAACATGAGGAACTGTATTAAAGGGTCACGGCACTAGGAAGATTGAGAACCACTGCGTGTGCTAGAGGTAGATGAAGATTTTAGTAAAGATGAAAACCTTCCCAGGATTTTCATATAAGGGCTAGTGCTCAGTTTATTGTTATGTTCTCTTGTAAAGCACTCCTTTCTAGGAAAGTTAAGCATTAGCCAAGCTGTTCAAGTGTTTTCTTTAGTTTTTTTTCCCTTTCCCTCAGGAAACTTTACTAGAATGATTTAGCTACCTAATTGACAGAACCATGTGGTTCTGTAAGGTTGTAAGACAGCAGGAAGTAAGCTCATTCTTGAGGCATCTATCTCACATTCATTGTTGTAGGTCATGTGAACCTACATGTACCAGATGTTAAAACATTCATTCATCTTGATTTTTAGTTAGCATTGCACTTGAACTGCTTAATGGAAAAGTTCAGAAATACAGTTAAATCTTTGTGTGGTGGGTTTTTTTACTATTGGTAAGATTATAAGGAAATAGTGATCTGAGGACATTTTAAGAATTATTTTTAGAATTATCTTAATGCAGTAGAATTATAGGTCTCTTAAAAAATATAGATTATATACTTTGATGTCTTTATATATTGCATTTTGGAGGAATACCTTTATTAAATAGAATTTGAATTTAATTTGTTTTATATTGGTATAGTGTGCTAAAGTACATGTCGTTTTATGGCTGAATTGGAATTAAATGGCAGTTCTTGAACCTTGGGGAATATACACCATTGCGGAAGCTTCTTGGCCAGTTGCCAGTCTTTTGTGTGAAATTATACAGAGCCGTAAGTGTGTGGACACCCAGAGCTTCTGAAATGCAGGAAGGGAGCTGCAGCTGGTCACATTACTGTCTCATTTGTGGGTTTTAGAACAAAGTGCTAGGGATTTACCCTGCAGCATTACACTGGCAGCCTAAAAGGACTCTGTGATAGCTGTAAACTGATGAAACTGGAGTTTAAATGAGCATTTTCGAGCATTTTCACCATACCTCACTGTGATGGGAAACAAACAAAAAGGGTTTATTTTCTCTGTATGGGGTGTGTGTGTATGTATTGTTTTCCAGCTCATTTTATTAATTTCACTTCCATTTATAAGTTTTCTTTGAACATATATTTCTTGTGGTTAGACCAAATGATTTGCTTTAGAGGTAAACTATTGGCGTATTAGGTTTAACCTATTTGGTTGTTAATTATTATGCTTGTAGTAAAAATATTTCGACTTTAGCTACTGCTAAAGCTTCTTTTCCATCTGCTCTGTGTTCTAACGAAGTGAGCATGCTCTGAGGCTTACAGTTTCTCTATCCTTTCCTTCCCAAGAGTCCCTGCCCTTACCCATCTTTGCATATCCTTTATGAAGTTACCACTGAACTGACCCCATTGCCCCTCCCAGCTCCAATTGGAGCTGGATGTAATCTCTCCTGAACTCATAGTTCTTGAGGTACTTGTAATTTCCTGCTGCATGTTAGATATCTGTAAATGTCCTTGGTGACTACAGGAACCATATGTCAGATCTTTGTATCTTCCACTGTACTCAGTGTCTATAGCCACAGAATAGGCAACATGTGTTAGAAAGATTGAATTTTGTTACCTATATCCCCCAAATGGGCAAGGTTATACCAAATCTGGAGTACTGTGCCCTCTGATTATCTTGGGCCACAGAACGTTCTTCCTGAAGAAGACCTAAATCATGCAGATGTGAACTGTTTCACTTACCTCCCAAGAGAGAGACCCTTGCAAAGCAGCTCCCTTTATTTCTGATATAAACAGGGCATGTGGAAGAAGCACATATTAACCAAATGGAACAGCATAAAATGGGTCATTATTTTTAAAGAGGGAAAGAAACACCAAAAGGAATCATTTTGATAAAACACAAACCTACTCTTTTAGGAGATAGGTCTCATTAACTGAGCTAGAGGTAAGTGACGCTTTCAGTAACAATCAGTATCTTAACCACGATTTTCACACAAGGGCTAGTGTTCAGTTCTGTTGTTTGCTAAATAATATTTTCTTTCCTCCCACCCCAACTTTTCTCTTTTAGTCAATACAAATGGACTTGTCTGTGATATACATTTTCAAACAGAAACATTAAAATTATGAACTTTTATTTGATATCTTATATAGACATTTTGAGTTATTGATTTGAAATACTGAACAAATAATTTTTGACATCTGACAGTCTTGTAAACTTTAATCCTTATCAACGATAGTTGAATTTCTGAGAAGGCAAAAGTATGAAAGGAATATTAAAACTAAATTACTAGAATTTTTTCTTCCTGGCAGTGTAATGTTTTGAAGAACCTCAAAGAAATATTATGAAATGTGACTCAATTCATTTGTCTAGAAAGAAGACTTGTATTTCACATTTTAAACACCTGTAACAATAGCAGTTTTAATCAAAACTAATAAAGCTCTTATTAGTGGGCTTAAATTGATACTAAATCATTTTCAAAGACAGTTGTAATTAAAAATTTAAAAACAGGGCCCGGCCGGTGTGGCTCAGTGGATTGAGCTTTGTTCCATGGACTGAGAGGTCCTGGTTGGATTCGCCGTCAGGGCACATGCCCGGGTTGTGGGCTCGATCCCCAGTAAGGGGGCATGCAGCAGGCAGCCGATCCATGTATTTCTCTCACGTTGATGTTTCTATCTTTTTCTCCCTTTCTCTCTTAACAAAACAAAAATCAATAAAAACATATTTAAGTCCGGCCGGTGTGGCTCAGTGATTGAGCGTTGACCCATGCACCAAGAGATTGCCAGTTTGATTCCTGGTCAGGACCCATGCCCAGGTTGTGGGCCCGGTCCCCAGGGGCAGGGGCATGTAGGAGGTGACCAGTCAGTGTTCTCTTTCATTGATGTTTGTATCTTTTTCTCCCTTTCACTTCCTCTCTCTCAAATCAATAAAGGGAAAAATCCCTGGCTGGTTTGGCTCAGTGGTTAGAGCGTTGGCCTGTAGTACAGAGAGACTTGGGTTCGGTTCCCGCTAAGGGCACATACCTCGGTTGCAGTTTGTCCCGGCCCTGGTTGGTTGTGTGGGTGGCAGCCACTTGATGTGTCCCTTTCATGTGATGTTTCTCTCTGTCTCTCTTCCTCCCACTCTGAACAAAAAATGGAAAAATGTCCTCGGGTGAGGGAAAAAAAAAAAAATAAAATAAATAAATAGGAAAAAAAAACATTTAAAAATAAAAAAGAAAAATGTTATGTTGACTCTCTTTATAAACTATTTGGAAACAAATTTTCAGTGGTGTACAGATTAGAGAACAGGAAGAGCTTTGTTTATTTTAAAACAGTATTTTGAAGTTTAAATAGAAACCTTTTAACAGAGGTGGTCTGAAAACAGAAAAGCTGGTACTTGTCTGCTTTTAACAATGGATATGAGGATTCTCTGCAGATATTCTTCTGATTTCTAAAGTTGGCTGATTTGATGGCAATACATCAGAATTTAATAATGGAGAATTTAAAAATAAGTTTGCTTTCTAAAAGTTGTTTTGGATTTTAACTTTTCTTGGCTTGAAATAGATGAAGTTACTGGAATATGAGCTTGGTTTTTTTGTTGTTGTTGTTTGGTTTTTCTATATCTGTTATTTGTTTTTCTATATCTGTTATTTATAATAAAACTAGAGGTCAAATTTGC